CCACCTATTTTCCAGCAACTAATGGATACCATCCTATCAGGTATCTCGGGAGTCGCGGCTTATCTGGATGACATTTTAATTGTAGCGACGACATTAGAACAGCTACGAGAACGCACGACATTGGTACTGCAACGCATCAGTGACAACGGTTTCCGGTTACGCTCAGAGAAATGCCAGTTTTATTTGCAGTCGGTAAAGTACTTGGGGTTCATTTTCGATGCCGACGGCCGCAGGCCGGATCCTGAGAATATCCGAGCTATCAAACTGATGCCACTCCCACTAATGTCTCGGCACTACGTTCCTTCCTGGGACTTGTCAGCTATTACTCAGCGTTCGTTCCATCGATGCATGATATTCGCGCTCCACTGAATAGCTTACTGCAGAAGAACAGCTCTTGGAACTGGACTAAACAGTGTGACGCTGCATTTTGTAAACTGAAGTCCATTATTAGTTCGGAATTGCTGTTGACACACTACGATCCAGCCATGCCGATCATCGTAGCTGTAGACGCTTCAGCGTATGGCCTAGGCGCTGTTATCTCACATCAGTTTCCGGATGCGTCGGAAAAAGCCGTTATGCATGCATCCCGCACACTAACCCAGCAGAAAAAAATACAGCCAGATAGAAAAAGAAGCTCTTGCGCTTGTGTTTGCTGTGCGCCGTTTCCACAAGTTCCTGTACGGTCGGAGATTCACGCTTCTCACAGATCACAAGCCTTTACTCACAATATTCGGGTCGAAATCTGGCATTCCAGCTCATTCAGCAAATCGTCTTCAGAGATGGGCCTTAGCACTCTTGGGGTATGATTTCGAGATCCAGTACCGACGCACTCAACAATTCGGTCAGGCGGATGCCTTATCACGACTCATTAGTGACCAGTTGGCGGCTGAGGAAAACACGGTAATCGCATCTCTGCTAGCGGAAGATCACGCCGAATGTTATATGACGACCGCAATACGAGCTTTGCCGGTATCTGCAACAGACGTACAAAATGCTTCTAAGAGCGACCCCATCATGAAGATGACTGTAGTGTTAGTCATTAGCTTTAGCCCATAATATATCTTATTCTAGTTTTCGGACATCCCATTCTATTCATTCTACTTGAGTCACACTTTGACCTTGTTATTTATTCGCTTATCAATCTAGACTGTTTTTATATGAGCGTATATGTGTGTGCCCTTCTTATCCCATTAATCACATGTCTGTATCTTTATTTTGTCTGACTATAAATATTGAGTAACGCTTGACTAAAATGGAGTTGGCTTCCCAGCCATCCTCCCTGCGCGTCATTTTGCTCTGTTCTATTACATTCAATTTACATACAAAATATATGTATTCAAAGGCCATTCTCGTTAATTGACTTATCTAAATTCCGTTATTGACTAAAGTGATTTAAGTCGACGATGATATACGAGAAAAGGCGATAACAATCATTTATACGATCTAGGAGTCAGATCCACGGGCCACTAAAATGGTGAGCCCTTCAACGAATATCGTCGATCTAAATGAGGACAAAGTCAAACTACGGGCCTCCACATGACTATGAGCTATGTCACCAACGGTTGGCCGTCTAAGAAGTTTCATGGTGACATGAAGCAGCTGTATCAGCGGCGGGGTTCGCTATGTGTTGTAAACGACTGCTTGATGTTCGGATAAAGAGTGGTTGTGCCAGAATCCCTTCGTGCGAAAGTGCTAAAACAGTTCCATCTTGGTCATCCGGGAGTTAGACGAATGAAACCCATAGCCAGGAGTCATGCATATTGGCCGCTAATGGATCAACATATAACAGAATTGGTTGAAAAACGTATGCGGTGTCAGCAAGCGGCAAAGGTGAACGCCAAAGTTCCACCAGTTTCATGGCCATAACCTGATCATCCTTGATCCAGGATACACGTCGACTTTGCAGGCCCGATCAACGGAACCATGTATCTAGTTTTAGTCGACGCCCCTTCGAAATGGCCAGAAATCAACCCTATAATACCGCCAACGACGACTAAAACAATACAAATCCTCACAGAAATTTTCTCCCGAAATGGTATACCGGATGCCATTGTATCTGACAACGGTTCACAGTTCACCTCCAGCCAATTCCAGTCATTCTGTCAACGGCTAGCCATAAAGCACTTTCGGTCGCCACCATACCACCCGTAGTCGAATGGGCAAACAGAAAGGTTTGTGGATACGTTTAAAAGAGCTTTGGCTAAGTCAAAAGGGGAGGGGACGCCAGCGGACGCGTCGCCAAATTTCTTATATGTATACCAAACAACACCAAATGAGACGTTGCCGGAGCGAAAGTCCCCAGCAGAGATCCTCATGGGAAGGAGACTGAAGACGATCCACAGCCTGATGCATCCAAGTAATGCACCGACACCAGAACGGACAAAGTTTGAAAAGCAATCCACGTACGAAGTGGGATGTCCTGTGTTTGCCCGTGACTACAGACCAACCCATGGTCCATGGACGGAAGCGCGAGTGATCAGAAGAGTTGGCCGAGTCATGTACGAAGTTGAGGTAGGCAGCGACAGGTGGCAACGCCATCAGAGTCAGTTACGCAAACGGCTAGCCCCAGACCGCCCATCAACCGAAGCAAATATTCCCCTTGAGATCCTGATAGACACATTCAACTTACCGGCAGCTCCGCCACAAGAAAACCTAAACAATAAGCGGAAGCGCGCTCCAGACGGTGGCCTCTCCGACAGCGGCGAGCAACAGTCAAGATGCGGGTCGACCCCAGGAACGCACGCTATTATAAAGGGGAGGAGTGTTAGGGACGATAGATCCACAAAACTCATATTTTGTAATTTTATCTTGTGGAGCTTGTATGCAGATGTATGCTTGGACATTTCTTACCACCCACGCACATAGTCGATTGACGAACTTATCGATTAAATGTTTAAAAACTTCCATGGCAATATCGATCATATATATTTTGTATAAATACGCTTGATTTGTGTGCTTGATGGACCTGGTATCTTCTGGTTGTTTGTAGAATACACTTTCTACATCTTACCAATACTTCTGGATCGAGTTAGCTGAGTCGGGGACAACAGACCAGTATAGCCTATCGAGTCTCTGAATCCTTGATTCTTCGTTCCGTTCCGAGTAAGACAAATCAGTAGTAGTATTCAAGTTTAACGACCATAACAATTAATCACTAGAACGCATACAGGAAAACCAGAGACTCAAGTATAGCAGAAGCCGACCCACACAGATCAAACTCTCAATTACATTAGCAACAATCCGAAAGCTCACAAAATCAACTGCGAACAAACTTTGTTCAAGAGAGTGAGGACACACTGCAACATACTTGCAGCGCGGAAAAAATGAAGGAAAATATCTAAAGACTATCTTTCAAACGAACGGCTACCCGATCAACTTTATCAAAAAATACCGAAAGCGTAAGCAGAAACAAAATCAAGTACAGAAACCAACAAAACGGATTATCCTAGCATATGTAAAAGGCATATCAGAAATTAAAATGAGACTGTTAAAGCCTTTTGGAGTAGGTGTAACACACAAGCCAACAAAATCACTTCGGCCAATCCTATACAAACCAAAGGACGAAATGACAAAAGAAAAACCAAGCACCATCTATAAAATAAATTTTTCCAACTGCGAAAAACACTACATCGGACAAAGAGGACGCCCTCTTCATCTTCGCCTACATAAACATCAATTAGCGGTCAAACGCTATGATACATCCTCGCCTATATCAATCTAAGTGGACAATCGTGGACACATTCGACTGGGAAAATGTTGAGATCTTGGATAGAGACAATTCTAAAAACACTAGGGAATTTTTAGAAGCTTAGCACTCAGGTCATCAGCAATGAAAAAACACATTGAGATTGACCCAATCTATCAACCAATAAGAAAAATTATGGGCAAATATAGGACCAAGAATCAAATCAATGGGAGATACAACCAAAATAACGAGGTACAAAATGACAGGTTAAAGCTCAACAATAACCGATCAAGATCGAGGTCTACAGGACAAACTGTGATTTATGTGTGGAGAAATCCGAACACTTCACTTCTACCTGAAGCTTGCGCTGATGATGTCGTTCAGAATAACGATAAAAGCTCCACGACCAAACCATCCAGCTGAGAGAACAAAACTCCACTAAAGTCATCCACCTGAGCTACAAATCTCCATCATCTCATGGTAGTGATATTTCAACTTAATATTTGATGTTATATGAACCACCATTTCTTGACTATTTTATGAAATAATTAATATTTTGTACATAATTTTTTCACCGATGAGACTGCTTTATCCTCCAAATGTTTTTGAGAGCTGTCTGAGCATGTCAATCTATTACGAATTTGAATGACTAGACAGAAAAAGTTTGTATATGAATAGTCTTTAGCTTTAAAATATTCCGCTAAGCGTAAAAGACACTTCAGGTTATATAACTAATAAAAATATCATAGAGAAGAAATAATAATTTGGCATTAAATTTTTTTTTACAACAAAACATATATTCTTATTTTTTTACGTTTCGTAAGAGAGGAATCAGATATTCCACTAACTTCTTAATAGTTATAAAACTACTCGTCCCAAAAAGAGAGATAAATGTACAACTGGACCAAAATATATAGTGAATGGATTAGCAATTAAAACACTTGAATCCCTCCATGCTTACTTCAATTTAAGCAGTCAGGTAGTCTCGTTAGACTTTACAAGGACAATTGTCAATAATTAATTATGATACGGCATTCAACCTGAATTACATCAGATATATACTTTAGATATTTCCAGTCAACAGTAAAATACCACGTTTAATTGCTACATTTTCGATATCAATGCATACTATGCTTACAAATATAAGTTTAACAATAAACTGCTTTTGATACTCACTAGTGATTTTAGACTACAGACAACTAACGACAAATGATGTCCTCCATAAGTATCTGAAAAACAAGGCTACTCAAAGTGATAAACTCCAAAGCTACGGGAACTGACTTTACAAGTAGGTGAAAAAAAATTGTCAACATACGTTCTTTACATCCTCTGTACATGCGTTTACGAGGGATTTCATTAAGACCTGAGACATCAAATCCCAAATCTATTAACCCAAGTACAATATCGCTCAAAAGAATTGAAGTTCTCCCACTGCTTTCAGCATTCATTAGTGAGGAAACAGCTAAGTCTTCTGTAACTACAGAAAGTAAATATGTAGAGAATGAGGTCACTATGAAGTAAATTAATAATGTACATTATATATATAAACTTTAAGAAATGCTTTTGTCTACCTGTTTTGCTAATTTTTTAAAACCAACTATTAACCTTACTTTTCATCGCACTATTTATTTTACTGTTCTTCATCTTGACTTATATAGATTCAGTTCGTTTATTTATTTACTAATATTTGCTCAGATATTTCGAACATAAATATTCCATTAATGAGTCACTGTATATATACTAGAAGTGTTATTAAAAATGTACAATGAAGAACTATTCCATGTTCAGTCACAAATTATATTATTAACAAAGACTTTTAGATGTCTTTTTAATATCGTGATTTCGGTACTGGGAGATGTAATTACTTCAGACATGAAAATTCAAGACTAGAAACAGATTTATTAACATTGTAATTATAAACAATTAAAATCGAAATCATTTTGAAATCTATGTTAATAGTATTTACGTCGTAAATGAAAAACATCTTATACATAATACGAAACCTGAAAATGTGTATAATAATTAATTAGTCTCAAGTTGCCGTGATATTACATGTCTTCTAATTATGAAGACTAAAGGAAGTTATTACACTAAAACATGACATAGGTGACCAGTTGTTCGGTGTGTCGACAATGTAAGCTTACTGGTAATGATTTCTGCAAAATCATGTTATTGCTAGGAAAAGGACTAAGATCGATGGTATTCACCTATCTTTCATGAAAACAGAAAGCCTTATTATTCTATTCCTAATCACGTCGATAATTTACCATCATTACAATTTCACCTTTTCCCCATTATTGTACGTACATTTAGTCATAAAAAAGATTGTAAGAGTATCTTTAATTCACGTAACTATCTTAACAGACATACAACGAAAGCACATTTTACTTCAAAAATTTAGATTATAGACACGGGCACAACATACAATTGAAATATATTAAAAGTAAGAATACAGAACTCCAACTGTAGCTCTTCTAGAATTATTGACGGTCTCAAGCCCGAGTACAGGAGGAGGGTTGAGCATGGATTCACCAACCCCATCCCGCAGAAAACTAACTCGATAAAAAACACGCCAACCATAATAAAAAAATTAAACAATTTAAACTCTGCCATGGGAGTTCAAGGAAGAATTGTGACGCCTCATGATGAAAGTCGAGATTCCTCCGAATTCACGAGGGCGATGCCCCTTCTAACAACCAGAGCAACAATCGACATAGGCGCTTCGAACATCCGGACAATGTGGGAGACCAGGAAGACCAGTCAAATAGCAACAGAAATGAGGAGATACAACTTGGTAGTACTGGGAATCAGCGAAACCCATTGGACCCAAGCTGGACAACAGAGGCTAGATACGGGAGGGATGCTGCTATACCCCAGTCATGAAGAGGAAAATACTCCACACACTCAGGGAGTTGCTCTAATGTGTCCAAAGAAGCACGAAATGCAATTGTAGGATGGGGATCTCACGGATCCAGAATCACCAAAGCATCATTCAAAAAAGAGGGAATCACGATTAATGTTACCCAGTGTTATGCACCCACCAATAAAAGCAACGACGACCATAAAGATCAGTTCTATGAGAGGCTGCAATCAACCATAGCGAAATGCCCAAGAAAGTATCTCATCATTTTGACGAGAGACCTACACGCCAAAGTCGGAATAGATAACACCGGATATGAAGATATCGTGGGACGACATAAACTGGGAGAGAGAAACGAAAATGGGGAAAGATTTGCAAATCTGTGTGCATTCAACAAATTGGTCATAGGCGGCACAATATTCCCACATAAACGCATACACAAAGCTACGTGGGTCTCACCGGATCACACCACAGAGACCCAGATAGATCATATTTGTATCAATAAAAAATTCCGAAGGACAATGGAAGACATGAGAACCAGGAGAGGGGCTGACACAGCTTCAGATCACTAACCAGTTGTGGTCGAGATGAATCTGAAGCTAAAAAGAAGAACTGGACAACTGGACAGACAGCACTACAAAGGTTCAATACAGCCTTCCTACGAGATATTAACAAACTCAACCAATTCAAGATAACTCAAAAACAGGTTCCAAGCCTCACAGGATCTATTGAAAGAAGAAGGAACTACGATGGAGGAAAATTAGAAAAATATCAAAGCAGCACTAACTACAAAATGACAGGTGCTGGGCCTCAAGAAGCATCATCATAAGAAATGGATCTCTACTGAAACCCTAAACAAGATTCAAGAAAGGGAGAACAAGAAGGCAGTAATTAACAATAGTCGAGCAAAAACAGAGAAAGTCAAAATAGAAGCTGAATACACAACAGCAAACGAGCAATTGAAGAGCATCAGCGCTGATAAGCAGAAATATGTGGAGAACCTAGCAACAACAGCGGAAAAAAATCTTCAAGAGAACGAAATATGAGACAACTCTATGATAAAACGAAGAAACTATCAGGGAAATGCAGTAAACTAAAGAGACCAGTCAAGGACGAAGAAGGCAGGACAACCACTGAGATTAAAGAACAGAGGAACAGATGGGTATAATACTTCAAGAAACTCTTGGATAAACAATCTCCACGCACCGGATATCGAAGCAGCACCTACAGACCTTCTTATAGACGTCACTCCACCAACGACGGAAGAAATCAGGACGGCCATCAGACAAATCAAGAGCAAGAAAGTAGTAGGACCTGACAATGTACCAGCTAAAGCTCTGAAGTCAGATATACAAGTAACTCCACACATGCTCCACATTCTATTCAGGAGGATTTCGGAGGAACAAGTGCCGACGGACTGGAAAGAAGAACACCTCATCAAGATATCAAAGAAAGATCTGAGCAAGTGTGAGAACTACATAGGCATCACACTATTATCGGTATCAGGGAAGCTTTAAAGTGTTGCTGAACCGGATGAACAATTCAGTAGATGCGTAACTTTGAGATTAACAGACCGGATTCCGTAAGGATCAGTCGTGCACAAACTAAATCGCGACACTACGGAGCATCGTTGAGCAATCGACTGAACGGAATTTGTCACTATACACCAACTTCGTTGATTATGAGAAAGCATTCGACAGTGTGGATAAAACTTCACGGGAACTTTCTCGACACTATGGTGTACGTGAGCAGATCAATGTAATACAGAGGAGGAGGTTCTAACGCAGAAGGCAGAGATTGGAAAAGTATGGGCAGCATTCCTATAGTTGAACAACATATGGAACTCAAAACAACTGTCAACCAACACCAAAGTCACAATCATCAATACGAACATCAAAACAGTCCTACTGTACGGAGCTGAAACGTGGAGAACTACCACAATCATAATCAAAAAGGACAAGTATTTATAAACAGTTGTCTACGCTAGATACTCAATGTCCGTTGATCGGAAACCATCAGCATCAGCCTACTATGGGAGAGAACAAACCAGCTTCCGTCTCAAGAGAAAATTGGGGAGTGGATAGAACATACATTGCAGAAAACACCAAACTGTATCATGAGGCAAGCACTAACTCGGAACGCTGAAGAGAAACGGAAAAGATGAAGACCAAAGTACACATTGCGTCAAAAATTGGAAACAGACATTAAAAGGATGAATGTCAATTAGAAAGGATTGCCCAGGACAGAGTTGGATAGAGAATGCTGGTGGTCGGCCTATGCTCCACCACGAAGGGCAACAGGCATAAGTAAGTAAGTATGAATCCAGACATCAAATTTACGTCAGTTAGTAGACGAAGTTACATTGATTTGAAACCTAGCATCCATGGAACATGTCATCTAGAGAAATAAATATGAGTGGCAAATTCAAAAAGTTATTGGTTAGAAATTTTCACCAACTGTTAGAAACTACACTTACAAGAAAAGAAAAGATTTGAAAGTACTCTCAACGCTGCGTACTCAATAGATGTATATCCAACTGATAAGGCAAGATAACCAATAGCACCTTCAACAACATCCAAAACACCCTGGGGGCATTCTCCGCCTGTCAATAACCGACTAGACATTTCAGAAACTTCTGAAAAAATGTAGATAAAAATTCGCACTTTCAGTACAAAGAAACTACAGGAAAATTGTAAAGGCGAAGATGACTATAATTTTTACCTGTATCCAGGACAAGGCTGGATATGGGTACTTTAATGGACACTAATCGCTAACACCACCCGAAGGGAAAAACTTTGATGACAGGTCACACTTCTCAAAATGTCACTATTAGCATACCTAGACAGTTCTCAGAAACCGACACAACCATAAAACATATCAACCCAATTCAAAGGTTGTTTTTTGAATTAAAGATAAAGATAAGGGGTGTTGGTGTCTCAAGGCTTAATAAAAGGTGATAACTGGATCTTACGACCTTTAGAGACTATAGACTGATCTCTTTGTTATTGGTTGAAAGTGATTTGATTTTATTTCCTACTAACTGGAGTAATCAATGAGGAAATAATCTCAAACGACTAACTACAATTTCCACTAGTCTAACTGGCACTTGTAAAGACCAATAATTTGTAATTCCCAATTTGAAACACTTTTAGAAGCGAAATGTTAGGATCCGGTTGGTTTATTAATCCTAACTTAGCCAATCTAGTGAAACTTTATAAGAGCTGGAAGAGTAAGCACAGCTCATATGTGAGTAAATTACTGAAAAAAGTTCAATCTGATGTTACAGCCTTAAACGGAAGAATAGTAAAACCACCACTCCACAGAAGAACTAGCTCTCAAGTTTATTAGAAGCATTATAACCATATATACAACTCTGTTAAAACTGGATCATTTGTGATTACGCACCTTAAAAAATAGGCCCACCATAAAGGAATTATTTGCTGAAATAACCTTTTCACTACTTGATAAGTAACTTTAGACTGACTGAATATACTAACTGGATAGTCTCTTGGTAAGCACGAGGCAACGGGTATAATTTATGGGGCGATTCACAGCAGTCGAAAAGAACGGAAAGATGCACAAATATAGTTACTGTATTATCAACGAGTAGTCACGATTAAGGTTATTAATACACCATTCTCTATATAAATTGTCGATCCAAATCTGCATTCAACTACGTAACTTACCTGAATACGTATATCCTTCTTATAAAAAAAGTCTATCGAGCCCATAGGGATAAAAATACCCTACGGTTTTATAGTCAGCACCCTGTTGTATTTTATTTGAACACAAATATTGGTACAAGGGGGCACCGAATACATATGCACCACACAAGTCACTTGTGTTGCGAGTGGGCCGAAATACTGCCGGGGTGCCCAGACCGAAGCAGATGATTTTCTTAGGGGGTCACACCCGGAGCCCTCGACCTAAAGATCTGGTCCACAACGCAGTGAAGCGACGTCATAAGATGCAGTCCGATGGTAGCCGGTGACCAATAATTGGTTCACACCCCATTTGTTTCCTCAGGAAACTAGAGCCCATGTGTACCATTGGTTTGGAATCAAGGTTTTCCCACTCCCCTAGGTGGACTTTCCATATCCACTAACTCGGCTAAAGCCCCGGACATTCGCTTTCAGTCCCCTTGATTTCGTAAACAACGCCGCGAGGAGGCAGTGAGTAGGATTTCCCTAACGGTGGCTGTATACGCATGGCTACTTGAAATCATTTCGAGAGAGAGAGCTAACTCTCCCCACTCCCGGCTGTACCAGGGCATTTGGGGGCTCCTGACAAGCACATTATATATGGCTGTAGTTTCAAAGCGCATTTACAGATGTAAAACTTTGTAATATTTAAGTTTTTGCAGCTTTTCGAGCGTGCTTTGTATGTGGACAAAATATTATACCGCATACGCTCACATTAGGAACAGAAAGGATACAAATATATTTCAAGAGACCGTCTTGACTTACGATTTAATGTGAAAACATTATGTCACAATAATTAATATGAACCGTACGAACATTTTAAGTGAAGAAATATCAACATCTTAAAATGTCGGAAATACCCATGCTAATGACACCAAGTAGTTTAAGATGACAAATCATGGTCGGAAACCAAACAGGTCTTCCAATTAATACAACAAAGAAACTAAACGTAACACATCTTAACAATTCAGAAATATAAACATAATTTGGGACCTGATCCAAATCTGTATCCCAAACAAACATTACCATGTGAAAAACAATGAGAAGATGAGGGGTAATAAACTCAACTCTTACAACTGTAAACCTTGTACCAGAGAACCAAGCAAGATGGTGCGATAATTTTTGTTTTCACTGTCGTAATCCATGATGTAAGGCGCATTTTGTTACTTGTCGTTTTTGCTGGCTTATATGAAATATGTAAAGTTTTCTACGACAGTATACAAAACCTTAGTGAAGACTAAGCTTGAGAACTGCGTTCAGGCTGCAAGCCCCTGTTTAAAAGGTGACTTGAATATCCTGGGAAAAGTACAGGGGGCAGCTACCCGTGCAATTATAGAACTCCAGGGTTTACCATACAAAGATCGGCTCGAAAAGCTGGACCTCTTTACTCTGTCCTATCGCAGACTAAGGGGAGATCTAATTTTGATGTACAGAATACCGAGAAATGATCTTGGACCTAACTTATTTTCTCTTTTTCTTCCCACTAGATCGAGACATCTCAGAGGACATAGCAGGCGAGTAGAAAAGCCAAGAACAAACAAGATACCCGTGGCATACAGGTTTTTACACCGAGTCATTATTACTTGGAACCTGTTACCCTAAGCAGTGGTGTCTGCTCCTTCAATTGACGCGTTCAAGAGAAGACTGGACACTCATAGAAGCATACTAGAAAAAGAATAACACAAGTCGTAGGTCTTCTGTCCTTACTACAAAAATCTGAAGATACCACTCCATTATGTTAGTGTCGAGTGTACGGCAGTCAGTTTTAACGGAAGAAAAGTCACAACATAGTGGACATGCTTCCAAGTAATTCTATAATAGGACTTCAGTCCTACATTTAGGCGAAAAGTAGATAATTCGGCGACATTTGAAAGACAGAGCGACAATAAGGGAAAAATCCGTATTATTCCCCCCCCGGACAGGCGAAAAAGCAGACATTTAAGCACGTTTCCCCATTGTTCGCCTTTATTTAACCTTTATTGGTTGTTTGGATTATCTCGAAATATTTACAATTCAATGACTAAATAAACTAAAACATAATCGTAATTACTGACAGTGATACACTCAGACGACTCAAAAACGCGGAATTCAATTCCATCTGTTAATACTGCGTGAACGTAATCATGACCATTATTTCGGTTTGCGATACATACAACGTTGAATTTAAATCCACCCGAAACTGGAAAACTGAAAATGCCGCCTCGATCTGTTGCTTTGATCTGCGATATCTAATACCATTGTAGATGTGCACTCTTCACAGAATTCCATGAAGATAAATTTCCAATCACACTTTACCCTCAATCACGGCAAAAGTCCTTATCCAGGTTTTTATTCCACCAATAGATTACTAAACTTTCTAGTTCTGTTCTATGACACCCAAGTGGTATAACATAAGGCTTTACAGTGACATGTAGAATTTGTGTCTACTGGATTATTTATCGCGCAAGAACGAGGTTGTAGCGGTAAGTAAATCCCCAAAATATGTAGCTGTGTACGTCTGCGACATTGGATGCTGACCACATTAGTTTTAATGGACTCACCTAGCTGATGGCCAGCTATGGTCCCCACGAACCAAGGACAAAGTTCGTCAGGACCTGTAAATTGGTACGAATTAAGGTTGAATAATCTCGAAACAACTTCATTTGCGATAAGTTCCTGGACCTTTGAATGATTTTTATCATTTTCGATGAAAACACTCCTGGAATACTTGGATAAGGAACAGTTTTGTTCACTTCGTCTCCATCTCAAGCTAAACCGTGTGGTACTATGGCTCCCAGCAACGTTGTTTGTCTGGCTAAGTCTGTCCTTACATTCAGAGATTGATATCCGGATGCTAAACGATCAATAATAAATAGTCAATATCAGTCACAACGAGCCCGGATGGATTACTGAATTTTATGGAACTAGATTATAAATCTGTAGATCTCCCTTTGTACTTGTTACCATTCAACTCCCTTCATATCTAAATAGATCTTTTGCATGGTAACACTCTACCTGTCTTCCTAGTGTGTTATAGAAGCGAAAAATTCCACTTGGAGTTTGAACGAACCAAGGGCAGGGTGTTTTTGGATTATTTGGCTTCGCGATAAGGTTCTGTCAGTTGCGCCGTTTACTAAAGTCACCTTACATATTGAGGCTATTCACTGAACGATAAAGGTAAGCTTATAATATCCATACTACTCTAAAGTCTACAAATTTACTTGAGGCAGAAGCCATAAGATTCCAGGAATTTTCCACCGGCGTATTATTTTGGGATTAATATCCTCTAATTCTTCCGTGTTGCTCAAAATAATACTGGAGGCAGTTTGGTTTTTTACCCCCAACTTTCCAGCCAACAACAGTCGAATTCGGCATAAAGGAACAATAACACCGTAGTTAACTTCACCCAAAACTTGACTAATATCATGTGAGTGTTTGTTCTTTATGTGCTTTGAAAGAAGAATGATTCTAAGCCTGCTTTTGGTATACCCTGACCACACACTGTGTTCGCCAAATTCTACCTTCTAACATCCACTTGAAATGAATGAGTTCTTGTCTCTCATTGAACGATGTTCTGTTGTTAATGGTCTTGTAGTGGTATTGATTTTCAACCACATGATCTTTGAAACCGAAATTATAATTATCGAAAAGATTTATATTCAACATGTAACAATTAGAGAAGGTGAAAATGGTGAACACGGAAACGATAGATCGGTGTGGCATGACTCGGATGTGGTCATCCTGTGTAACTCATACTTTTCCACATCAAGTATATTATTATATCTTCAGCTGAAATATGTTGTTCAGAAATAATAAACATCATATTGCTGTTTGTCACAATATGACGAATAAGTATAGACTAAGATGTGACTTCCGCGTAAGATTATACAGACTAGATAGTCACATCAAAACAAATCTAAAATGTTGAAATGAAGTGTATTATTACAGTAACGAAGATAAGTATACTAATATCAAAAAGGATCATAAATCTGTGATCTCACATTTAATCTTCCTAAGTGTCAAACTGTTAATTTTAGCCTGAGACATGAACATTATCCCAAAACCTTGAAATTCTGTAAGCTTTGTACTGCCGGAGATCCTGTGGTGAAACTGTGTCAAAGCTTACTTAAGTGAAAATTGTCCCCTGATCTCCCTTGAGCTCATGTTTTATCGATATCACATTGGATTTTCTGTTTAACTTTATGAAAAATTCTAGATTATATATATATATATATAAGTATATGGCATATCATCTAGCTTAGATTCAATATTTAATTTTGTGGTTTGTAGATTCTCATATATTACCCACTACCATCATTATAAAAGCAACTGTCTTTGCTACAAAGATAATAGCTCTAATCCAGTATTGCAGGCTTATTGTAATGTAGCGAATTAATCTATAGGACTTAATGTCGATGTCAAATCATTGTATATGCTGACTCGTCGTATTGTGGCAGGCAGCGACTTCTGAAGATTAAGTTTGGGCTTAGGATAGAATAATATCATAAATATATTTATATTACATCTTAACGAGTAGAAAGGTTGTATTTTTGACGTTTCGTGAATTAATGTAAGCCACTCCATCAGAGAAAATAAATAAACGACATAAAATTGACACGAGCCTAAATATTACTATTTATTATCAACTCTTTACCCAATGCTCAGTTTATTCGAATCTATTAACTCCAACCCTTGTATGAACGCCGATAGTAGAATATACTTAATTTGAAAAGCTAGAAGTTACACAGAGTGACCACGTCTGTATGACCGAGCCATAGAGTCTCAATTGAGTGTTCACGCACTCGTCATTTCTGACCTACTTCAAGCTTTTGACAGCTAATGTAAGTCTTCTCGGCCATCGTATGTTCAACCTCAAGAAATAAACTTTTCTGATGCTGTCCACCCCGTTGTCCAGTGCTTCTTGAGTTTCAATTTCATCTTGGCGACCAGCAAATGATGATCTGAGGCTATATCAGCCCCTCTCTTGGTTCTCACGTCCTCTATAGTCCTCCTGAACGTTTTGTTGATGCAGATATGGTCGATTTGGTTTTGCGTGGTGTGGTCCGGTGAAGTCCATGTGGTTTTGTGTATGCGTTTATGTGGGAATATGGTGCCGCCTATGACCAGTTTATTGAAGGCACATAGGTTTGCAAATCTCTCACCATTTTCGTTCCTTTCTCCCAGTCCGTGTCGTCCCAAGATGTCTTCATATCCAGTGTGGTCCATTCCGACCTTGGCATTTAAGTCTCCCATCAGAATAATCAACTCCGCCTGTAGCTCTAATAGGGTTACTGCCGGTCCCAAGCCCGGGTAAAGGAGGAGGGTTGGGCATGGGGTTAGCGTCCCCATCCCGTAGAAAACTAACTCGCTAAAAAAACGCTTACCAGAAAAAATTATTCAAACCATTTAAACTCTGCCCTGGGAGTTAGAAGGTCTTCAGTTAGAAGAATTATGACGCTTCATGGTGAAAGCCGAGTTCCTTCGGAAGCCACGAGGCCGATGCCCCTTCTAACAACCAGAGCAAAAATTTTTATAGGTACATGGAACGTTCGAACAATGTGGGAAACCGGGAAGACCAGTCAAATAGCAATGGAAATGAGGAGATACAACTTAGCAGTACTGGGAATCAGCGAAACCCACTGGACCCAAGCTGGACAGAAAAGGCTAGCTACGGGAGAGATGCTGCTATACTCCGGTCACGAGGAGGACAATGCTCCACACACTCAGGGAGTCGCTCTTATGCTGTCCAAAGTAGCACGAAATGCACTTGTAGGATGGGAGTCTCACGGATCCAGAATCATCAAAGCATCATTCAAAACAAAGAAGGAGGGGATCTTAATGAATATTATCCAATGTTATGCACCCACCAATGATAGCAACGACGACATTAAAGATCAGTTCTACGAGCGGCTACAGTCAATCATTGAGAAATGCCAAGAAAGGACCTAACTATTCTGATGGGAGATCTAAATGCCAAAGTCGGAATAGACAACACCGGATATGAAGATATCATGGGACGACATGGACTGGGACAGAGAAACGAAAATGGAGAAAGATTTGCAAATCTATGTGCATTCAACAAATTGGTCATAGGAGGCACAATATTTCCACACAAGCGTATACACAAGGCTACATGGATCTCACCGGACCACACTACAGAGAACCAAATAGATCATATTTGCATCAACAAAAAATTCCGAAGGACAATGGAAGATGTAAGAACCAGGAGAGGTGCTGACGTAGCTTCAGATCACCACCTAGTTGTAGCCAATTTAAAACTGAAGCTAAAAAAGAACTGGACAAGTGGACAAACAGCACTACAAAGGTTCAATACAGCCTTCCTTCGAGATACTGACAAACTCAATGAATTCAAGATAGCTCTCAACAACAGGTTCCAAGCCTTACAAGATCTACTGAAAGAAGAAGAAACTAGTATGGAGGACAACTGGAAAGGCATCAAGGAAGCATTAACTTCAACGTGTCAAGAGGTTCTGGGCCTAAAGAAACACCATCATAAGGAATGGATCTCTATAGAAACACTGGACAAGATCAAAGAAAGGAAGAACAAGAAGGCAGCAATTAACAACAGCCGAACACGAGCAGAGAAAGTCAAGCACAAGCTGAATACATAGAAGCAAACAAACAAGTGAAGAGGTGCATTAGAGCCGACAAGAAGAAATACGTGGAAGAACTAGCAACGACGGCAGAAAAAGCTGCTAGAGAAGGAAATATGAAACAGCTTTACGATACAACGAAGAAACTAGCAGGGAAATACAGTAAACCAGAGAGGCCGGTCAAAGACAAAGAAGGCAAGCCAATCACCGAAATTCAACAACAGCGTAACAGATGGGTGGAATACTTCGAGGAACTCCTGAATAGGCCGGCTCCAATGAATCCACCGGACATCGAAGCAGCACACATAGATCTTCCTATAGATGTCAACCCACCAACGACGGAAGAAATTAGAATGGCCGTCAGACAAATCAAGAACGGGAAAGCAGCAGGACCCGACAACATACCAGCTGAAGCACTGAAATCAGACATCGAAGCAACCACAAGCATGCTGTACCTTCTATTCAAAAAGATTTGGGAGGAGGAACAAGTGCCAATGGACTGGAAAGAAGGACACCTCGTCAAGATTCCAAAGAAAGGAGATCTGAGCAAATGTGAAAACTACAGAGGCATTACACTACTGTCAATACCAGGGAAAGTCTTCAACAGAGTGTTGCTGAACCGGATGAAGGATGCAGTAGACGCCCAACTTCGAGATCAACAAGCTGGATTCCGTAAGGATCGGTCGTGCACAGACCAAATTGCAACACTACGGATCATCGTCGAACAATCAGTGGAGTGGAACTCATCACTATACATCAACTTCATTGATTATGAAAAGGCATTCGACAGTGTAGATAGGAGGACATTATGGAAACTTCTTCGACACTACGGAGTTCCTGAGAAGA